TTTCACTCACACACACACTAATACCACCAACCAGATGATCATTGGTCATATCACCCTCTGGTAGTTTAACAGTTTGCTTTGGAAAACCACATTTTTTCATTGCCGTAAATCATCTCTAAATGGGCGTCCATTGTCCGCTATGTCAGTCATAGCCCGAGGGTATAGATCCACACCCAATATCCATTACACATGTCCAATACACGCATCAGTTGTAAAACGACGACGAGTCAATCCTTCAGGGTGCTGCATGTTATGTTTGGTCGATAACCACCAGTACTTTGATATATGATGGTATATGCATCATAAACGCCATCATGAAATTGGACCAAATATATCATATATATATATGATGACCTATGACAATCTACGACAAACTATGACAATCTATGATAATCTATGATCATCTATGATAATCTATGATCATATATGAGATTCTTTGATAATCTATGATATTCTGTGATATTTTATGATAATCTATGATATATATATATATGTTTAATATATATTATATTATATATGTTATATATTATATAATATATATATATATATGTACCATTAACATCCATTAACTATAGATCTGTGAGACTTGCAGCAACTTTGCGATTTTTTCTGCCAGGCTTTTGGGCCGGATCCATCGTCGCGGCTGCCGCTGGAAACGCTAGGATGGCAGCTAAAGGAGCGGCGCATTTGGATGTCCTCGGGCGGGGCCAAGGTGGGAGGAGGGGAAGGTTTTGGGTGGATCAATGCTTCAACTAGTGAAAATCACAATTGTTTAAGGGTAATTCAGCTATAAATGGCAATTTTCAATAGCAAACTGGTCTTTTACCAGATGGTATATTATTAACCGGGTTATGGTGATAATATATATATATATATATTTAGTGAATCCACTTATTACTGGTTATTTGTTACATAGCTATGGAAGCCATGGCCCATTTACAGATGATTTTCCCAGCTAGAAACCTCCATTTATAATTGGGGATTACAATAATTGGTACCACTAATTGGGGATTGGTTAATATGATCCAATAATTGGGGATTACATGTTGTTTCATGTTATTTCATGTTGTTTCATGTTGTTTGTTTTGATTTTCAGGGTACTGATGTGCTCGCTGTATTTATTGTTGGCATACTTTTTTTCAGTTGCTTGCTGTATCATCGAATCATGTCCATTCAAGTTGCCATACGTTGGGTGGTGAATCCCCGTTTCCAGACATCATCATCATCATCATCATCATCATCATCATCATCATCATCCTCATCCATGGGTCAACTCCCCGCAGTATGTTTATTGGATTTGGTTGGTCAAAATCCGCATGTTTCAACATTTTTTCAAAAAATCATGTTGCTGGTTGGTGGTTTCAAGCATGAATTTTATTTTTCACAATATATGGGATAATCCTTCCCATTGACTAATATTTTTCAAGATGGTTAAAACCACCAAGCAGGTTGCATATCGCCAATTGCAGCAATCTCCCAGGGTGCCAGCTATGTCTCTGCTGGATTTCATTGGGACCACATGCACAACGTCCATGTGGTCCTCAGCGGAAGCAAAGAGGTGCGGATTTTTCGGTGGGATGGAGATGGGCGACTGTCCTTTTCCCCTTTGGTAAATTTCATTAAAAAGACCTCACGTCGTTCTCCCGAGCCCTGAAATCATGGTTTATTTTAGGGAAATCATCCCCAAGATGGTCTTATTTTAGGTCAGTGAAATATTCTAATTGACCCAGATTAATACAAGCTTCTCCCCATGAAAACCAAGCTCTGGTAGATGAAAATCCATCGCAAAGGAGACCAAGAACTGAATGGTGGTTTCTAGTTTCAAGTGATTAAAAATAGCCTGGCACATTGGTCATACAATGGGAGTTATACTACCTGGCTTGTTGGGGATTATGAACGAACCCAACCTACGGAAACGGTATTCAACCAACTAGTATTTCATGAGATGGGATCGGGATATTTGTAATGGCTCAAATGTGCCTTGTTTTCAACCATGGAAGTGGGATGAAGTGGGATGATGATTTACAGAATTGACTACTATACAATTATGATATGTTTCATGGAGGTGGAAACCACCAACCAGATAATATCACTAGCAAGAATAGTGGATGCAACTAACAAAGCTGGTTGGTGGTTGGAACATGAATGGAGTATTTTTCCATTAATTTTGGGAATTTCATCATCCCAACTGACGAACTCCATCATTTTCAGCGGGGTTCAAACCACCAACCAGAAAGACATGGGGCACCTTTGACACGTATGCGATTTGGCCGCTGAATCAGGGCAGGGGTTCCTGACTTTCGGAGGCGACTCCCAGACCTACCAAAGTGACCCGTTTGTTTAGCGCCCCTTAAAATAAAAGAAGGGTGGGTTCTAGGAAGCAATGAAAGAACATATATATGTGAGTGCTACATGTCGGTTGTCAATGCTGGTTGCATGTTTTTGCCATAGTGTTTCACACTTCACATACCGGCCGTAGTTTGGCCCAAACGTTTTGCAGCAAAAAGATAGCAGCGACTCCGCGTTTTGACTTTCTAGCTTTCACCCCCTGTGCACTCCGCATTGGTAGCGGAGCTTGCGCTCCATGACAGGGGAAGCGGCTGCGCCGTCAACAGGGGCGGATGCCCCAGTGGCAGGGCCACGTGAAGAGGCAGCGACCTCAGAAGCGGCTGCGCCGCCACCGGTCTCCGAGGCAGACTGGTCAGAAGAAAATAGCAGTGACAGCCACTGCAGAGAGGCTCGGGAACGCAAGGGCGAGCCACGGTCTAGAGAGGCCGAGAGCCCAGACCGAGAAAGAGGCAGCGCCTCACACCGAGGAAGATCCCCACGGCGAAAGGGGAAGAATAAGGATAAGGGGTCCAAAGGACAGGAACGATCGGGCTCGCTGAAAGGAAAGAAAGGGGAGAAAGGCAAAGGCAGTAAGAGCCGAAGCCATAGCAAGGGCAAAGGAAATAAGAGCCGAAGCAAGAGCAAAGGCAAGGGCAAGTACACAGCAAGAGATGTCGAAGACATTGTCCGTAAGGCTGTGGACACCGCCATCCGGAAGGACCGAGAGGCTCGTGAGGAGACCTACCAGCCCGGATGGTACCCCTTTGAGGGAGGTGAATGGTACTTTTGGGATGGCAGCCAGTGGCATGACGAGGAATGGGAAGAATGGCAAGGAAGGAACCGTCCGAAGGAGCCGGATGCGCCGGAACCACGCAAGCCACCAGAGCCACCGAAACCGCCGTTGCCGAAACCCCTTAGCAAGCCGGAAGCTAAGAAGAGGCCAGTGGAAGGAGCTGCGACTCCGGGGCCATCAAGGCCAGTGAGGAGGGAGGCAGGGCCACCCAAGAAGGCAGAGGCCAGTGCGTCCCGTCCCGTGCCAAAGGAATGGACAGCGTTTCCAAGGGATGGAGATTTGGTATGTGGCAGATGCGGAAGGGCTTTGCCTCGAGGTGAGTTCGGCTGTAAAGCCTGCGGCAAGGAAGTTGCTGATCTCGCAAGACAGCGGGAGCAGCGGCTAAAGCCGAAGGATGAGGAGCCGGCAGCGCCGCCACCTCCGGCATCAAGTGGAAAGAAGAGCAACAAAGCCCCGAAGAAGGAAGCCCAACCGGCCAAGAAGCAGAAGGCAGCTCCTCCTCCTCCACCTGGAGATGATGACGACGATGGTGGAGAAGGCTCAGAAGGGTCGTACACCTACGAGTCATACTATTCATATGAAGGTGAAGAAGGCCAAGAGCAAGCTGAGGAGTCCCGACGGACCAGCGACCCCACAATATCGGTGACAGACCGATCGGAACCGAGAAGGAGGCAAGAAAGGCCACCTCCAAGACCAAGAAGAGAGGAGAGGCCTGCCGATGACCGGCCGCGACCGGTGGATGAAAGGCAGCGACCACCCGAGAACCGGCGGCGACCGGAGCGTGGGCAGCGCCCCAGGGTAGAGCGTGCCGTGCGAGGCGGGGGCGGCGACCCTCCAGGAGATGATGATCCAGAAGATGACACGGATCAAACATCCACGGCACGGACATCAGAAATCCGGGCGCTCTTGCAACAGAGTGCAAAGCCCGGAGACAGATCGAAGCCAAGCTTGTCCCAAGTGCGTATTGAAACGTTCCGAGGAAACAGAGCGCACTACAAGGACTGGAAGAAGATTATCGAAGCACAGCGTGCTCTGTATCGCCTTGAGGACAGCGAAATGGCTATGTTGATCTATCTGTCGTGCCAAGGAGAGCCAAGGCAAATCCTGAACCAATTGGAGGTTCAAGAAATGCAAGAACCTGGCGGCCTCAACAGAATGTTGAAGCTTTTGGACGAATCTTTCGGTGCTCGTGCAGACGAAAGGACTTTTGGCTTCAAGTAGGTGTTAACTTTTTTGAGGTAGGTGTTTGTTTTGTGCAAAGCACTGGCACCTCAGATTCTTGGTTTGTAAATTTAGAGTGTTGCGATGCCAAAGGAAAAGCAAGCACCACGTCAGAATATTTCACACTGAGGAGATTGGGTTAAATGTCAGAAGGAGATGCCAAAGCCAATGTCAGATGATATGTCAGAAAATGGCTGTCAATATGAGGAGAGGGTGGGGGGCTCACTGGAAGTGACATTTTTTTGTGAGAACGAAAGGAATGTTGATCTTTCAGAATCTTCCGTTGAGAAATTGATCATTGTTCACAGTTATGTTGCCTCTTGTGCGTGGAAGTGTCAGCATCACTTTTTGCATGATTTGCACTGGTTTGCAGCCGCCTGTTCTTCGCTATATAATAATAATAATAGGTAGCAGCATCTTGCGCTATATATAATTAATAGTAGCAGCTTCTTGAGCGCTATATTATAATTAATTAATAGTAGCGCTTGAAGCGCTTTTAAACATTCTGTGTTCTCGCGCAGCTAATTTTCCAGAGACCTCGAAACCGCGTTTTTCATATCATAGCGATCTTGCTGCTATCAATTCAATGGCTTACCATCAAGTGTGGCTGCATGCAGAGCAGTGGAACCTGTTGCCTCTGTTCCTCCAGACCATTTCTATGTTGTCAGAGGAGGAAAAAATTTTCATGGCAGATTTTGGCATGGCACTGTTGAAAGAATGCTGCATTGCTGCGCGCAAGTTGACTGACAACTTCCAAGAGACGCTGGACCTGATGCGTGCCGAAGTTTTTGTGGCGACATTTCGTGGCGTCATCGTCCGTGGAAGTTCGACTCACATTCCAGTGGCCGTGCTCAGGGAGACTGAAGGTGACAAGAGACGCTTCCGAGATTTGATTGCAGCTCAATCGTATACGGTGCCTCGCTTGCAGCATTTGGCCAGCGATTTGAGACTGGCGTTACACTACATTGATGAGTGGGAGACAAACTGGCGTTGTTCTGAAGCTTTGGCTTCAGTCATGGAGCACGTCGAGGCCATACTGGACAACTTGCGGCTGAAGATCTTGGGATTGCTTCATGAACCGGAAGGAGAATATAACCCTGAGTTTGACTTTGACTTCAAATGAGGATGGAAAAAAATTAGAGGCATGCCGCTTTAGTGCCAGCTGTAGTGCCACCACGTTGCATGCAGAGGTCATTTTCTGGGACGGATCATTTCATTTTGGTTTGTTTCGAGTGCAAACGTTTTTCCATTCGGTGCAATCTGCAGCCGTTTTCAAAAAATGACGTTTGACAGCTCAACACGAGTCAGCGGACAAAAAAAAGCATGACGTAACTTAACATGATGTAGCAGATAATTAAATTCATGTGTGAGTGTTTTTGCGATAGTTTTTATAGGCTGACCATGATCATGATGGTGAGAATGCCGCTACCTTAGGCACTTTCCACTGAACTCTCTGCTGCAATGTCAGATACGCTGTCTGATGCACCAAGCTTGCCTCCTGATGTTGAATCTGAAGATGATAACAAAGACGCATCTGAAGCAAGATCCGTAAGTCTTCCCTCTGACGTTCAATCTGATGCTGAGCCTGGAAATCTTCAAAAGCATTGCAGCTGCCGATTGCAATGTTACCTGAAGTTTGATGAAGCAGAAATCGAACATCGACGTGCTGAAAATTTGAAGGATCAGCAGGTTCGACTCCAGAATTTATTTGGAAAGGTGAAATCTTTCGTGGATGCTTTATCTGTAAAGACTGCTCGCATAGATTGGCAAATGGGTGGCCAAAAAGTGTGCAGGCCCTTTTGGGAGTATTGCCACTCAGTAGGCCACAAGCAAGTGGACGACATGGTGAAATTGGCTAAGCTTGGACATGCTGCTCTCCCTGAAAAAGGCGCCCGGATGCCCAAGGAGAAGCCTCGCATGGATGAGGCTGATGTTTGGTTCCTCAACTTATATACAGGTCTTGCAGAGCTGACACCAGTGGAAGATGGTGGCCATCGCCATGTGGAAGAACTTCCTGATGCAGATCAAGTGCATGAAGTTGTCCACGATGTTAGCCATCCACTATATTCAATGTCTGTTGGTGTTGGCAACCAGGGGGCATTGGTCCCGAAGCGCTTCCTCAATCAGGAGAATTTGGCTTCTTTGTGGCATGTCTACGAGCTGAACAAGTCGGATGAGCCACGTGTGTCCCGGGATACCTTCACCAAAGCTTTCAATCGACACTGGAAAAGGATTTTATGCTTCAAGGGTTATGGTCAAGGAGTACGATGTCAAGTTTGTGCTGATTTTGATGAGAGGCGTTCGCAGCTGACTTCAAAGAAGGAGCGCCAGGAGATTGACGAGTTGAAGCAGCAGCACCTCAACAGATGTGACATGGACCGATCTGTCAATGTCAGGGGCAACCGATTGTCAAAGCAGGATTCAAATTTTAAGATGGAGAACTCCTCGACTAGCTTCCTCAAGGTGTTGGTGGACGGGATGGACCAGGCAAAATTTCGATGTCCCAGAAACTTGAAAGCCAATGTAGCCTTCGCCAATGTCCAAAGGCCGGCCTTGCATCTCACTGGAGCTGTGGCAATTGGCCTCTGCGAGGTTTATTATATTCTTGCGCCTGACGCCAAGAAGGACAGCAACATGGTTGCAACTTGCTTGGCCCACCTTTTGGACAGATGCCAACTTGTTGTCGAAAATAGAGGACCAGATTATTGCTTGCCAAGACATCTCATCATTGGAGCGGACAATTGCACCAGGGAGACGAAGAATGCCTATTTGGCCCAATTCGGTGCCTTCCTTGTGGGAAGGGGTTTATTTGATTCAGTGGAGTTTCAGTTTATGGTCACTGGCCACACAAAGAATGAGCTGGATCAGCGCTTTTCAAGCGTTGCGACGATTTTGAACAAGGCTGGCACCCTGGAAACGCCATTGCAATTTGCCAATTACATGACGCACCATGTTAAGCCAGCAATGGCAACCGAGATGCAGGTGGAGGTCTTGGATGCTACTAGGGATTGGCAAGCTTTCTTTGGACATTTGAGCATGCACGTGCAAGGGCTCACAGCGACCCACCTTCAGCCTGATTCAAACCATGTTTGGCGCTTTGTCTTGCGACAGCAAATTGACCGTGCCCAAATGGTGGAGAACCACAACCCAAACTGGAAGGATTTTCCTGAAGACCCCAGGGATGTTGTGCTGATTCTCAAGCAGTGCCTTGGTTTTTTCCTGTTCTTCAAAGTCGTTTCAGTATGTGAGCAACCGCAAAAACCCCGGCAATACTAAATATGTATTCGACGGACATTGGTTTATGGAAATTGATGGAAATTGTTAAAAACACGAGGTAAGCGATGGGACCTTCCCAAATTAGCGATACCCCTTTTCAAGGTTATGTCATCATATTTCTCTAATATCCACATTAGCGATACCCAAATATCACATATTATTCATAGTTCATCACACATATATATATATATATAAATGCAGCAGTTTCCTGCAAGCGATACCCCCCAAGTTTACCATATATCATTATTGTACAAACGTGTGGTAAGCGATGGGACCTTCCCAAATTTGTGGATGTCCTTTCCGTGAACCTAGGGTTTTCACAATCGCTCATGTTGTACCTTTTAGTTCTTGGACCGTCCCATGGTTGAATTACCCGGTTCTCACCGCTGCTGCAATGAAATGTATTTTTTTTCAGACTGCCAGGTTCATGTCCTCGGCCGAAGCGTCGCAACCACCTCAGCTGATGCTTCCAGCTCAGCTTCTTGGCAGTTTCAAGCGGGACCTCTTGACGATTGCCGACAGAAGGCAGTGGTCTGAAGATCAGTTGGAGCAGTACCTGAAGACTGCTCAAGCCGTGTCGTCGGATCCATGGAGACTCTTTGAGGCGCAGGCATGGCTGGAAGGCTTGTGCCATGCTAACAAGCATCGGCTGTCCAAGGAGCCTCCAGTCTTTTCTTTGGTTTTGCAGGAGCATGAAATGCCTGAGATCGTCACAGATTTGCCAGATGAAGCCCTGTTTCAGCCGGATCCGGCACCTCGTCGTGTCAGAGTGTTGCTGAAGCGACCTGCTGCTGCAGCCAAGTCATGTCGACAGCCGAAGATGAGAAGACCTGCAGCAGCTCTGCCAGGTGCTGCAGTTGCAGCACCAGCAGACGCTGCAGTAGCCGCGGCGGCCAAGCCTGCTGCAGCACCTTCTGGATCGCGACCGCCCATGCGCAGACCCGCGGCTGCAGAACCCTCAGACCGTGCCAATGCTCCTCCGGAGTCACATGTGGTTGAGGCTTCTTTAGGGAATTACACATGTCAATGTTCGGAGACTCTGATATGATGTCTATGACAATATTATTGGGCTTCTGTTTCAGCTAGGGGCGAGACTTCAAACTTTTCAATGTCAAGGTATACCACTATCTTGAAGATGTAAAGGGAAAGAAACAGTCGGTGATCAGAAATTCAGACAATGTTGCTGCAGTTGCATCAGAGCTGGCGATCCATTGATATATTATAATATGTATTATGATTTTTGGCATCGTAGGTAGCGCAGAGCGCTCTATAATGGGTCCCCTATTAAGTAGGTAGCGCAGGACGCTTTATAATTATATCATATGATAATATCCCTAACACATTTATGACCACGTAAAGTCACCAATTTGGCTTGGCCCGCTAGGCAGATTCAGAGAAGATCGAGCGCTATGGATGCTCCAGGTGCAGAAGCGCCAGGATTGGGTGCCTTCAATGTCGAGCCTGGGTGGAACAGAAGAGGCGTCGTTACGTTTTGGATTCAGCTGGCCACATTTGTCAGCTTAAAGCTGACGCTGAGGATGTTGATTGAATATCCCCAGCCAATCTTCAAGATTTTGCATTTGGATTGAAAAGAGAAAATGAGATGCCTTGCTGCAGATTGCTTTGCGATGTTGATTTGTGATTGAATCCTGAAGTGCTTTGGCAAAGAAACTTTCTTAGACATTAGCCAAATCATGTTTGAGATGTCGCTTTGTGATTGAATCCTGAAGTGCTTTGGCAAAGAAAGTGTCTTAGACATAAAAAAAAACATGTTTGAGATGTCGCTTTGTGATTGAAGCGCTACTGGCCAAGAAACAGTCCTGCCCGAGGAAAACACAATTTCCTTTGAAAGGGGTCCTCGGAGTGAAAGGGGTCCTGGGTCCGCGCGCGCGCGCGCGTCAAGGGCTCCAAATTGAAGCTAGCATGCGCGCGCGCGCGGACCCAGGACCCCATTCACCCCGAGGACCTCTTTCAAGGGAAATTTTGTTGGAAACTCGATTGTTTGTGAGTTTTTTTTGGATCAAAGAAACAGTCCTGCCTCGCACCATGAAAAGACCAGCCTCCCTGATGGCAGCACCTGCTCCTATGTGCCGACCAGCTGCGGCTGCAATGCTACCAAGCCCATCAGACCAGAGCACGGTGGCTCTCCTTGAGTTGGAGCGTTTTTTTCCAAAGGGGGAGTTGAAAAATGCACAAGGCCAAACCTATACGGAGTACTGTCGCGAGCTGCGCCATGAATGGGTTGTTGAAAAAGACCGCAATGAGACCTTCCCGATGGTCAATGCAGCTGGAGAGTTCCTTGCTTTTGAACTATCATTCTTTATTTCTTAGCACCCGGGTGTGTCTCCCTTGTGCTAATTTGTCAATCTCCCATGGATAAATTGCTACCATTTAGCAAATTGTTTTCTTTACCGTTTTGTGCCACTGTGGCGAACATTCTCTGACAAGGAGCAGTTTGGTTTATCTTGTGAGATATGCGATCATGCTGATGATGAGTTTGAGAACATGTTTGGAGAAATCCTTCAGTTTAACAAACAAAATCTTTAAAATTTAGGAACAACCGAGACATTTTCATGTTAGGAACAAACCCAAGTAGGAACAATCCTTTTATATTAGGAACAAACCCAAGTAGGAACAAACCTTATATTTTAGGAGATCTCCTAAGTAGGAACAAACCTTTTATTTTAGGAACAAACCCAAGTAGAAACAAACCTTATATTTTAGGAACAAACCCAAGTAGGAACAAACCTTTTATTTTAGGGACAAACAGTTTTTTTTGGTTAGGAACAAACCTATTATTTTAGAGACTTTTTTTTTTTTTGTGGAACTCATGCTGTGAAGCAGCAAGGTTGGAACGGGTGTCGACTGCTGACTGGACAACATACAAGAGAATCCATTCCAGCCACGATGGTTGGAAGTTGCTTCAAGGGCGCTATCGTTGGCGCCGGGACTGGCAGCAGCAGTGGTCTTTCCAAAATGACCCCCAGGAAAACCAGAAGAAGTGATGCTGCGAAGCGATTTTGTTTTCCCTGTCTTTAGATTTTTTTGAAATCACTACTGCGTAGAGTCAAAGGAAAACAGGGCAGCTTCTTGCCTCCAACTCTGTGAAAGTTTTTTTGAAATCATTACTGCGCTGAGTAAAAGGAAAACACTGCAGCTTCGTGCCTCCAACTCTGTGACAGTTTTTTTTTAAACCACTACCGCTGAGTAAAAGGAAAACAGGGCAGCTTTTTGCCTCCAACTCTGTGATTTTTTTTTTTACCACTACCGCTGAGTAAAAGGAAAACAGGGCAGCTTCTGGCCTCCAACTCTGTGAAAGTTTTTTTTTTGAACATACTTGAAGCATCCATGATTTTGCAGTAGAAGGCTAAACCCTAAACCCTAAACCTTGTAGAAAAAAAACGGGCAGCATTTTGTTTACATTGATATGTTTTTTTCTCTTCTGAAATATGTACTTCACATGGATTAGCTTCACCAATTTTCACGGGAAATCCTGGGATATCCCCTGAAATCTCGATGGGGATCTGGCCAACAAAAATTTCGACCTGGATTTCACGGTCGTTCCTGGGATAGCCGCTGAAAACAGTCAAGTGTGCAGAGATCTGTTGGATAAGCTTAGCTTGAACTGCAGCTACCTGATCACACATTTCTCTGACAACAATGGTTTTTAAGAGGCCATCCTGGGATAGAGCAGGAAGCCACCCACAGAGATACAGCTGCAGCTTTCACAGTCAGTCTTGCTGTCCCTCGATTTTTTCATCTGAACTGCTGTTAGCGTGTTAGGGACGACCATTACCTGGGCACAGTCCAAAACTATATTAATAGGCAGCGCTTGACCCCCAGCGCTTACAGTAAGGGGAATGCATCAACTGTTTTCTCTGTGGATTATTTTTTTTGGCATGCCAGTCAGTGAGACGAACCGTTTATCTTGTGGCTCACTGTGTTTTTTTCTTGGCATACCAGTCAGTGAGATGAACCGTTTATCCTGTGGCTCACTGTGTGTTTTTTTTTGGCATACCAGTCAGTGAGATGAACCGTTTCTCTTCTGGTTCACTGTGGATTTTTTTTTTGGCATACCAGTCAGTGAGATGAACCGTTTATCTTGTGGTTCACTGTGTTTTTTTTGGGCATGCCAGTCAGTGAGATGAACCGTTTCTCTTCTGGTTCACTGTGGATTTTTTTTTGGCATACCAGTCAGTGAGATGAACCGTTTATCTGGTGGCTCACTGTGTGGATTTTTCTTCGGCATGCCAGTCAGTGAGATGAACCGTTTCTCTTCTGGCTCACTGTGGTTTTTTTTTGGGCATGCCAGTCAGTGAGATGAACCGTTTATCTTGTGGTTCACTGTGGTTTTTTTTTGGGCATGCCAGTCAGTGAGATGAACCGTTTCTCTTCTGGTTCACTGTGTTTTTTTTTTTGCATACCAGTCAGTGAGATGAACCGTTTATCTTGTGGTTCACTGTGGTTTTTTTTGGGCATGCCAGTCAGTGAGATGAACCGCTTCTCTTCTGGTTCACTGTGGATTTTTTTTTTGGCATACCAGTCAGTGAGATGAACCGTTTATCTTGTGGTTCACTGTGGTTTTTTTTGGGCATGCCAGTCAGTGAGATGAACCGTTTATCTGGTGGCTCACTGTGTGGATTTTTCTTTGGCATGCCAGTCAGTGAGATGAACCGTTTATCTGGTGGCTCACTGTGTGGATTTTTCTTCGGCATGCCAGTCAGTGAGATGAACCGTTTATCTGGTGGCTCACTGTGTGGAATTTTTTTGGGCATGCCAGTCAGTCAGATGAACCGTTTATCTTGTGGCTCACCAGGCCCATGAGACGAGGCAGTGGCAGGAAACAATTCAGATAAACTCAAATTGACTTGAGCATCAGGTAGGAGCAGCAGGTGCACCCAACTAGTCACTTCTTATGAAGTTCCCATTTCATTGACCTATTATTTTTTCTCTCCAGTGCTCTGTTTCTGCGTCTCTGTGCTGCCAGTTTTTCCTGCCATGGCTGACGACCTGTCCTCCACTGAGTCAAAGTCAGATTCCAATCGGAAACTGTCAAAGCGTCAAAGGAAACTTGCTGCCGCTGCAACCTTGCGCATCCTCGAGCAGAAGCTTCAGAAGCGCCCAGTGACTCACAAAGGACGCCACTATGATTCCTTGGAATGTTTGTGGAACTCCAAGGTATCTTCAGAACCCAGTCAGCCTGCACAACCTGGCCCTGCTGCAGCAAATGCCTTGAAGAGGCCTTTGTCACCAGACGATTCTAGTCGAGAAGTTCGAAGTCGAGGAGATGAAACTGGTGGTATGCAGTCAGCTGACCAGTCAGCCGCACCAGCTGAAATGCCTGCTCATGACGAAGGCATCCCAAGTGCGACTGCATCAGCTTCGGGTAGCAAACCTTCAGCTGAAAGCCAGCCTACTTCATCGATCTCTCCTTCTTCAAAGGCAGCACCTAGGGTAGTGCCAGCTCTTAGACCTGTAGAAAACCCAGCTCCCAAAAGTGGACGCAGAAGAGGCAAGAGAGCAGGTCAGAACGTTTTTTTCTACAATGCGTTGCATGCGTTGCGCAATGCTTTTCAGTGAAAAAAAAATGGCATGAGGGATCCATTTGAAGTTGTTGTGTCAGAAAGGCATGAGCAGTCACAGAATCAGAAACAGCAGCTCAGAATTCAGTTTTGGCATTTGCACGGTTTGCCTCGGTTATCTTCCCTATGTAGGTTAGCGACCGTTTGGGCGCTTATTAAATATGAATATGTAGGTAGCGACCAATTGGGCGCTGTAATAGAAATAATAAATAATAATAATGACAGTGAAATTGGAAAATATGTTTGTCAGAGCAGCATCAAGTGCTGCAATCTTTTGTCGTTTTGCAACTTGATGGCTCATAGCAGCTTGGAGTTTCAAGTGGAGCTGGCATTGCGTTGCTTTGTCAGGCTGACTAGCTCCCCCCAATTCGAACATGGCAATGGTGTCTGATGCACCAGAGGTTGAGACAATTGAAATTGATGATGAGTGTGTGGATGATGCGTCCCAGTTCGCAAAGGAGTGGCTGGCCAAAATGAGAACCATTCTTCAGAACTATCCAGCTGGCCCAGGAAGCTACTTGGAAGACAAAATGAAGACGGCAGCAGACAAGGCTCGTTTCGCTACTTGGCTGCTGGAAACATGGCCTGAAAGACCAGATATCTGCTATCACCACGACCAAGTAGTTCCCAGTGTGCTGGAAGATGAATTGGCCCAGTCGCCACCACTTGCTATCCATGTGTCGTCCTTCAGCTGGACCGATGGCTGTGGGGTGAAACCTGCTCCAGGACGTGATTTGGCTTTGGGCCTCATGGCAATGTACCTCAAGGATGGCTTCATAACCAGCGGAGATGTGATTCTGATGGCTCAGCCATTGGCAGTTGAGAAGGCAGCTGGTCTTCCCAGCCTTTGGGGATCTGAAGAGTCAGCACTTAAGCCTTTTAGCCTGGGATATTTGAAAGGACGTGCTCGACTTACCAGTCTCTTCGCTCTTCTTTTGTCAGTCTTTGAAGAAGAGGTCTCCTTGGATGACTTGAAAAGCTTCTGCCCGAAGTTATTCGATTCCGTCTCAGTCATTTGGGTTCAGCATATGCGGCAAAACAGCAAGGAAGATGAGGTCTTGTGCAACCTGAAGTTGAGCACGAGAGGATCCCTTAGAAAGGCAGCCAACCTCATCCAAATTGCCTTCATGGTCAGACGTCTGTTGGCTTCAGGAGGCACCGACTACACTACTTTCCTGCGAAAGTACAACCAGCAGTCTGTTGCGGCTCACCAACTTCGCGGTCGCAAGCAAACTGCACTGAAGCTCCTCTTCGAAAGCGCTCCCAAGGACTACTTGGATTTTTTTTTAAGTTATAGTGTTTGTGTGACACCACCCCTAACTTTGTCACTTCTCCAGGGAAAAATAGTAGATAAGTTTTTCTTTATGTGTACTATCCTTTTCTCGCTGTTCAGGACGTGCTGGATGAGATCCTCAACCATGTTGGAACTCTTGGATGGGAGAATTGTGCTTGGACTGAGGAGAATTTGGCTTCAAAACGTCTCTTCCCAGGACACGTTTTCCCAGCCAAGAACAGGAAGTGGCAACAGAGATTGAGAGTCAGCAACAGGTCCTTGAGAATTATGGTTCTCAGGATTCATTGGGAGCAGGAGCACCAGTCTTGTGAGAAGCGCAGCCAGAAGAAGCCGGATGACAGAGCTTGTGAGCTACTGGCTGAAAAAGCAGCTTGCCTCGTTTCCTTAGCAGATGAGTTTTGCTCTGAGCATCCCATCACCATGGAGACAGTCCAGAAGAAGATACTGGATGAGTGGTCCTCTGGATGCAAGCGCATTGACATGGAGCTGGCCGCGCAGTTACTGGAGAAGTCCGAATCCTTTGCCATTGCGACCCACATGCCTTGTTTCAAGGCTTTGCTGGAGGAATCTCTTTTTCGTGCGCCGGTGTCTTCTTCCCAAGAGGCAGGGGCTCTTTTCTTGACGTGGTAGTCGTTGTTTGATGAGTAGCATAACCCATAATAATGACGAAAACAATGATAAGATAATAATTTCAAGCTTTATTCCCTCCCTCAAAGTTTTTGGTCTACTAGTCGGCGTTGCAATGAAGTTGCCTTGATGATGGCCTCTGCACCAAAACACCTTTTCTGTTGAATCTTCTCCCCAATCATTAGGATAATTGTGAGTTTGTTTTGTTCCACAATGCTGGCAGGTGGAAATGCGAGACAAGCTGAAGAGAGATGAGTTCGACCATGTTGTGAAGAAAATGGACTATGACATCAAGGTCTTCGAAATTTGGCAATCGAAGGTCGCATCAGTGGCAATGGCTCGCCAGCATGCGAAGCAGGAACATGTCGTTTCTGAACACAGGAAAATCGTGGAATCAGTGGAAGCCTATCTTGATGGTTGTGTTCGCTTCCTGTGCTGGGAAGGAGTCAACAAGGGAAGTGATAGCATCGTTCCACAGGTCCTCTCATTTCGCATGGAAATTTTGAGAAAGCTACGCAACCAAAACACAGCTGGTGCAGCTGCAGATGTTCCTACCTTGGTCCTCATGAATTGGACCGCACCCTGTCTGTTTCCAGCTGGACGGCAGAATGATCACATCAACTGCCTTGCGTGGGCGTTGCACGACAATACCAACTCGGCTGCAATCATTTTCGCACCTACCTTTTCGTACCAGAAAGGAAAAACATTCCTGGAGGAAAATGCGTGCATGCAGCTTCTGGCACAAGGAGGGCACAACTTGGACCATCAGTTCAGCGTCTTATTTTCTGACAGATGCGATCAGAGAGACAGCCGACCTCTGCTTTACCCTGCTCGTTGGGCCTTCCCAGGTCATGTGGTTGACCTTGGAAAGACAAATGCCTTCTTTCAGTCGGAGCTTCGCAAGGCTGGGCGAACTGATCCTTGCAAGCAAATGGCCGCCAAGGACTTGAAGGAAATGGAAGACATGGCTGATGACAGCCTCCCAAGCACAACTTCAAGCAATCACATCTCTGGAGCAGCCAAGCATTGTCAGTTTGGCCGTCCTGCTGCAGAAGAGGTCTTTCGCAAGGCCTTCAACCAAGTTGACCTGGAGAAATTTCCAGCTGTGCTGATCGTGGACCTCTTCCCCCGAGTTGGTGATTTTGCAGGTGCTTTTTGCCGCCTCCGGACCCAATTGAATGCTGGGACCAGCTTGTTCTACATTGGTGTCGGAGAGAAGGCCAAAGAATTGGAATGGCTTCGCGCGACTTTGCTCGAAGAGTTGGTGGAGAAAGTGAAGCTGGAAGGCTTTCAAATTCCTGGCGCTCAGCCATTTCAGAAAGAAGTCAACCCAGACCTCCTGGATGCACTTCCCGCAATTCCAATTACCAATCTTCTTGTTGTGACAGGTGAAGGTGAAGATCGAAGTCTGGTGCTGCCAAAGCACTTGATGCTGAAGTGGCGTTCTGATGAAGATTTCGGCGATGAATTTTCCAAGTGGCTTGACGCATTTTTGGAAAAGTATTCAGTGAGTGAAGATGCAGACAATTCTTCACCCAACAACAAGAGACAAAACAGTGAAGAAAAAACATCGGAGGCTGAACCGAGCCCAAAAAGGTGTCGAGTGGAGGAAGTGCCTGCAGAATGCTTGCTTCCTTGTGACAAAATTGCAGAGACGCTTCTATTTGAGACGAAGTTTGGAGGAAAAGATACCATTGGATTCCAGATCCGCACCAACCACCAGCTCTATTTGGTCAACCAGACCTCCCATGAGCTCAGTCTCAAAGCAATGTCGCCTTTGGTTGGATTTGGCAGGGGATCGTTCAAGTTGTTCAAGGAAGGTGACACACTACCTGAGAAAGCTTTGCTTTTTCACATTGCTTCCTCAGATGCCTTGGTTTGCCTCAACGGTGCTGTGCAGACAATTTCAGAAGTGCTATTCAACCAAAGAAAAATCAAGCCTGAGGCTACTGTCTGCTACCACAAGGCTACACCTTCTGGGCAAAAAACTGATGGCCAGACATTGTTTGACTTCAAGTTGACCCACAAAATTTGCTTTGTGCCGCCGACGAAACGAGATGGAGCAGATGAAGGAGCAGAAAAACCCGGCAAAGAAGAGACTATATCCTTCACCAACATCGCCTCACGCGAAACAGCTGGTACTTTTTGTGATTTGCAATGCGCAAGTCTGATTTGGCATGTGCGCTGGACAGTCAAGGGGCTGCAGCCGCTGAAGCCCATGATCCATTTAACCAAAAAGCTTTGCCTTGCTGCAGGTCAGTGCTGCAAACTCAATAAGCAATGACATTGCAGTTTGGACCACAGGTAGCATTGAAAATGCCTACGATTTTGATATGCAGATGGCTGCCCCAAATAGGTGACACTCGAAAACATTTTGTCCACACAACCTTGCTATCAATTTTTGCTTCTCGAAAGAAAGCACCATCTGACAGGACATTGCGTTGATGTCCCAATCTTGGGTCTTTTGCTTATCGACATAGTCGACATAGTGCACATCGTGGCCGACAAAAGGAACCAGCTTGAGAGTCATTCTTGCATCATTGTCAAGAGATTTTCAGACATGTGCTTTTATATGTATTGTTTCGCTTCAGTACTCACTCGACAGATGCGCTGGCTGTTGACAATCATGTGGAAGTTTCATAGTAACAGTAATAATAATAATAGCGCTCTTAGCGCTGACCACTTTATAATAGTAATAGCGCTCTTAGCGCTGACCACTTTATGCCAATGGGGTATGTCTGATCGTTGCTTTCTCATATTCAGCCACGAGCAACTGCAAGCCCAAACTTATTGTTATGTTTGGACTTTTGGATTTTATCGACAGAGAGTTTAAATCTCCAATGACAAAACCAGTTTTCTGACATTCATCTGGCATCTCCTTCTCTGGCATTTAGTCTACAATCAATTCAATCTGACATATATTCTGCCATGATACCAGACTGAGACTGTAATACAAAAAGATTCTGAAGTGGTGCCAGTGCTTGGCACAAAACAAACACCTACCTCAAAAAAGTTAACACCTACTTGAAGCCAAAAGTCCTTATCAGTCAATCGACGCCAAGTTGTCAATCGCATTGTCGAACGTGATAGCCCAAGCCGGTGATGTTGCTCGTCATGTAGCAATTAAACTAAGATTGAGAACACAGAGTCATAGTCGAAGAGGAACCTATGTTATGGGACGAGAAATTTTGGCTATGATTCTGGAACACTTCAGGACACCAGGTCAACGAGAGACAGCCTTCACCATGGAGCACATCGTATCGATGAAGTATCTCGGTGACTCCAACCTGGAAGTGTTCTACGAGAAGTGGATGGAGATGGTGTCAAACATGATGCCGGATGATGTACCTCCTGATGATTGGCTTCGTGACTCTCTGTACAAGAAGATTCGGAATTCGAGTCTCATGATGTTCGACATCAAGCAGTACGAATCATTGATTGAAGGAGATCAAAGACGAAGCTATCGCTACCTGTTGGACGTCATCGAAAGGCACATATCCAGGATCAGAGAAGACAAGCATGTGGCCGCCAGAGAGAAGTACGCAAGAGACTTTGCAGGTGGTGGCAAACCCACTACTCCTGCACCAAATCCAACTGCTGCTGCACCAGATGCCAATCCGAAGGCGAAGGCTAAAGCCAATCCCAAGGAGAAGGCAGCACCTAAGGCGAAGGCCAAGGCTGAGGCAGCTCCAGTTCTACCATCACCTCAACCAAAACAGCATGCAAAAGGAAAAGGGAAAGGTCAAGGGAAAGGAAGCGGACGGTCAAACAGCCGAAGTGCTAGTCCTAGATCCAAGAAGAAGATCCCATGTCATTTCCATTTCATCAAGAAAGCATGCAGAAAAGGAAAAGATTGTGAATACAGTCACGACCAAAAGGTGTTTGATGCGAACAAGAACACGAAAGGTAATGGTCGAAAGCCAGGAACTCCGAGAAGTCAATCTCCAGCGAACAAGACCAAGAAGATTGATGAACCATGCTGGCACTGGGCCAAGGGCAAGTGCCGATACGGAGACAAATGCAACAAACGTCACGATCCTCATCTCTTCAACACTGCTCCGAACACCGAAGCATCAAGCTCAAAGGCTACTCCTGCACTTGTCCATGAATGGAGTGATGACGAAAGGACATTCCACAAGGTTGCATCGAATGTCGTCAAGAAGAAGGTCAGATTTGATGAGTCCAAGACTTGCATCCAAACGTACGTGAAGAAGGACGTCGTGAAGTGCAGCCGGAAATCCCAGACCATCCCCAAAGGTCATGGTAAAGTCGGCAAGCCCACCGATCAGATAAGGCAAGATGAGCAATGGTCTTATTCATGCAGACTAGCATCGAGCCGAGGGAAGGCAATGGCTATCCTGATCGATGAGAAGGGCGAGTACAGTGACATTGATGAAGTCCTAGTCATCGTCGGCCCCAGTCTGGACATTCTGATCAGGTTCGACATCGAGGACGGTGAGATATCCAGGGAGGTCTTCGTGGAGAACTATGTTCAACATGTCGAGGGTCGATATGGCAAAAGGGGTAACACGATGTGTATCACTGTTCCTGTTGAAGAAAGAGATAAGAGATTCATATTGGATTCTGGAAGTGGTCATGATCTTATCTCATCCACACGAATAAGTAGAATGGATCTCCCAACATATGATGATAAAGTCGTCAACTTCCATACAGCAAACGGGGTAACATGTTCGACCAAACGATCAAGTATCAAGTTCGAGGCATTCAACGAACCAGCAGAAGCTCACATCCTGGAAGACACGCCTTCCGTAATCTCCATGGGCAAGCGGTGCGTTGACCTTGGCTATTCGTTCGTATGGCCGACTGGGAAAACTCCTTTCATGTTAGATCCCAATGGCAACATCATCGAAATGACTGTCAAAGACTACATTCCTTATGTGAGTGTCGATCAAGAGAAGAGAAAGTTAAAATCATCCTGCGTGGAAAAGATCATGGCAGCCTTGATGATGAGTGCTCAACGTCAGAAGGCGAAGGTCTTTTGGTTATTGATGGAGAGAGTGGGGATGAGCTTGAGGATCTTTCCGACGCCGTTGGACGATCCGATGGTGAATCTCCCAAGAAATCAATAAAGAAACGTAAGAAAGCAAAGTTGAGAGGTGATCAACATGAAGTAGCTGTTGGAAGTGATGCAGGTGATGCTGAGGAAATGTCGTGCCATGCCGATGACTATGCCGAGTTTGACGATGATGGGTACGAGCCCAGCATTGGACCGGATGATGTCGATGAAGATCATCAAGTTGAGGTTGAAGAGATTCCTGAAGATGGAGGAGGTGAAGATGACGACGATGTCATTGATGTTGATGAGGAAGATGGAGGAGTCCGATTGAGTAAGAGGGGAACTTTGAAGAATGAGGCAAGATCAAAGGTTCATCTTCTAACTCATCGCTATAAGAACCCATACTGTGAGTCGTGCGTGCGTGCCAAGATGAAGCACAGGAAGACGTTCAGAGGAGCGTTTCAGCGTAAGCTCACGAAGTTTGGGGACCTGGTCACATTCGACTACGTTGACAATCGTCGTATTGCTGAACAGGACTATGGCGACGACAAAACCATCTTTGTCATCAGGGATAGATTTACGGGGATGCTTCAATCTTACCCTTCTGCTAGGAAGGATACTGACGCAGTCATCCGGGCGGTCAAACAATTCATGGGCCGTCGTAAGATCAGAGAAGCATACTCCGATGATGCCCCGCAGTTCGACAAGGCCATGAAGATCCTGAAGATCCCAATGGACACATCATTGGCCGGAAAGACCAAGCACAACTCACTTGCAGAAAGAACTAACCAGTTTGTGCTCGTGGCAACCACGACATGCCTACTTGAAGCAGGAATTCCACCGTGCTTCTGGATGTACGCTATCAGATGCGTAAGCCACCTGCTCAACATCGAGCCCAACGATGATGAGGTAAGTTCTTGGTGCAAACTTCATGGAGAAGAATTCAAAGGGAAGATGATACCTTTTGGTGCCCTCGTGTACTTCAAGCCCAGTGGTTCACGTGAACGAGAACAACAACACAAGTTTGACCCCATGGGAATTCCCGGAGTGTTCGCCGGATACTCCATCGGCCCCGGGCTCCATTGGTCGAGAAAGTACAGGGTATGGGCATTATGTGATTGGAGTAAACAGAACTTGGCTTATGACGCTGAGAAACCCGTCGCCAAATTGAGGACTCCGCACTACACCGAAAGGGTAGAACTAAAAGAACCTCTTGAATTCCCATGCAAGTCAGAGTATGAAAGGATTAATGTTTCCATTGAGGGACTAAAAGTAAAAGATCGTCTTGAAGGAAACCCCGAAATCCTACCGCCACCTCCTCCGGATGATGGTGATGACGATGAAGATGGAGGTGATGACGATGGTCATGGTGGTGATGGTGTACCTTCGTCGAAGGTCCCACAAGAAAAGACTGAAGGGGAGTTGGAAGCTGAAAGACTCCTTGGTGAAGTATCTGAAAGAATGGGACCACCGGGTATCGACAAGCCCGCACATCCAGACCTTCATGTTCCAAAAGGAGGGCCAGAACACTACTCCATTGGAAAGGCCGGGGATGGGGTTGTATACCTGAATGACGACGGTGAATGGGTGAAGCTCAATGCTCGCGGTCATCCATATCGTATTGACGAACGTGGTTTTCGCAGAATATCAACTACTCCTAGGCCATCAAAATATACCCCTGACGAGTGGAGGAAGATGTCACCGACCGTCAGAAAGGGCATCGCCAAGGCCGAAGAGAAGAAGGTTGAAGCTGAAGAAGAAAAGAAGAAGAGCGAGGCGAAAATCAAGGAGAGTGAAGAGCGAGCAAAGAGAAAAGAAGAAAAGAAGAAGGCAAAAGAAGCCAAGAAAGCCAAATCTTCCAAGAAAGACGACAAAGATGATCATGTTTCTGGAGTAGCCATGTCCCAAGACTACGTCCGAAGGGGCAAAGTTTTCCAATATGGTAAAGGGTCCACTTCTCTCGTCAGGAGAGGGATTCCTGCCCTTGCTCCATGCAATTCTGATCTATCAGACACTGATGTACCTGATGATGATGACTTCTTGATGGAGTGGGATGAATGGTCTGAGATCGAGAATGGCAGGGGGCCGAAGGCTACTTGGAACAACGACAAAGTGTATGACTTCAACCAGGGGAAAGTGGTGGCTGCTGCGACCTTGCACAACACCGACGAAGTACCCCAAGACGCTCGTGGCCTCAGTGATGTTTTCCATCCATTTCCATGCATGCCATGCATTAATCATTGTGATGATCATCGAGAAAAGATAGT